TATAAAAAGGTTGTGGACTCATTGGAAAGGGTCCAGTGGAGGGCAACCAAAATGATTAGGGGGCTAGAGCGCATGACCTATGAGGAGAGACTGAAGGATTTGGGTTTGTTTAGTCTGCAGAAGAGAAGAGTGAGGGGGGATTTGATAGCAGCCTTCATCTTCCTGACGGGAAGTTCGAAAGAAGATGGAGAAAGACTGTTCACAGTAGTGACGGATGGCAGGACAAGGAGCAATGATCTCAAGTTACAGTGGGGGACGTCTAGGTTAGATATTAGGAAAAGCTGTTTCACTAGGAGAGTGGTGAAGCACTGGGCTGGGTTCCCTAGGGAGATGGTGGAATCTCCATCCCTGGAAGTTTTTAAGTCTCAGCTTGATAAAGCCCTGGCTGGGTTGATTTAGTTGAGATTGGTCCTGCCTTGGGCAGGAGGCTGGACCTGATGACCTTCTGATGACCTGATCTGCATGATTCTAAGACCATTCTTTGAAGTAGAGAACTGCAAAAAGATTCAGCACATATCTTCCAACTTTTTCAATAATTGGGATAGGGGTTCCAGAGATCACATCCTCTCTTAATACCCTGATCCATTAAATCCATTAAAACCCTGATCCATTCTGTGTACTGACTGTGGATCAGGAGATGGTCTCGGACCTCTTAGAACAGGGGTGGGTAATACTTTTTGATGGGGGGGAGCATTGATTTTGATAAGTGGTTAAGGGCCACACTTTTCTATGGAGGAGTTGTGTGGTCTGGGAGGGAGGCTGGGTGCAGAAAGGAGCTCAGGGTAAGGGTTTGGGTTGCAGGCGAGGATGTGGGGTCTGAGAGCGTGTTTAGCTGAAGAGGTGGGTTGTGATCTGGGCAGGAGCTTAGGGTGCAGGGTCAGGGAGGGGAGAGCATTTTGGCCTAGAAGAGGGCTGTAAGTGGGAGGGAGTGCACGGTCTGTAATGAAGTTGTGACCTAGAGGAGGAGGAGGAGTGCAGAGGGTTTAGGTGGTGATCTGGGGCAGAGAGATGAGGTGGGGGGACTGGGGTGTCAGAGGCCGGCTCTGGCCAACTACACTTTCAGCCTTCAAACGTCCCCTGGCAATGAGTTCCACAGATTGTGTTGTGTTTGTTTTAAATCTGCTGCCTATTAATTTCATTAGGTGACCCCTGGTTCTAGTGTTATGTGAAGGGATAAATAATACTTCTCTACTCAATATTTCCACACCATTCATGATTTTA